ACCTTTTTAAAGTGTTGAAGAGCAAAGATGTCAGCTGGAGGACTAAGGTGTGCCTGACCCAAGTCATGGTATTTTCAATAACTTCATATGCATGTGAAAGCTGGACAGTGAATAAGACCATAGAAGAATTGATGCTTTTGAGTTATGGTGTTGGAGGAGAATATTGAATGTGCCATGGGCTGCCAAAAGAACCAACAGATCTGTGTTGGAAGAAGTGTAGCCAGAGTGTTCCTTGGAGGCCAGGATGGCCAAACTTTGTCTCTCATACATCGGACATATTGTCAGAAGGGACCAGTCTCTGGAGAAGGATATCATGTTTGGTAAGATGGAGATCAGAGAAAAAGAGGAAGGCCCCCAGAGAGATGGATTAGCAAAGTGGCAGCATCAATGGGCTCAAGCGTGGCAACAACAGTGAGGTTGACCCAGGATCGGGCAGTGTTTCGTTTTACTGTGCATAAGGTTGCTATGAGTCAGTACCAACTCAATGGCACCTAACAACAACAACACTGAACTTTCTTGGCTTTTACCTTTACAAAAGTAGATTATCAGGCCTTTCTATGGAGCTGCTGGGTAGACTCAAACTGACCTTTTTCTTACCAGCTTAGTACAAACTGGTGCCATACAGGGACCCTTTGAATGTCTTTTTCTATATGAAATATTTTTAGTGTACCACTTTAATTCATTTGTTGATTTATTTTTAACTATATATGTTGTTGTTGTTATGTGCCATGGAGTCGGTTCCGACTCAGCGACCCTGTACAGGGTTTCCGAGGCTGTAAATCTTTATGGGAGCAGAAAGCCTCATCTTTCTCCCACGGAACAGGCTGGTAGTTTCAAACTGCTGATGGTGAGGTTCACAGCCCGATTTGTAACCACTACGCTACCAGAGATCCTTTTTAACCATATATAAAAATATATTTTTTAATATTTTATTGTGAATTATGCGATCGTTTACATGGGAGAACATTAGCTTTACATTTATCCTATCATATATAGTTTCGTTGCCATGGTTACAATCCCCTCCATGCATCATCAACCAACCAAACATTATACACTACAAGTCCCCTGCCCCGGGCGTCAGCAAACAGCCCCTCTCCCTCTCTGTGTCTAAAGTCCCTAGCTGCTTCATCTCTCCACGTCATTGTCTCTGCCTCCATCTCATCCACCACTGCTTCTCTGGGTAGGGTCCCGCTCCCCGCTCTTCTCTCTTCATGGTCCCAGGGACCTCCGATCCTAGACTGAAAAGCTAATCAATCCCCTCCTTGCTACAAAACATCTACCTTTACAGTTCCACAATCAGTCCTGATAACTTAACTATATATTTTAAATTAATTTTCTTGATAACTGCTCTAGGGATTATAGTAAGTACTTTAACATAATCTACTTCAGATTGATAGTAATTTGATTCCAGTAAATACAAAATCTTTGCTCCAAATAGGTCTACTTCTCTCCCATCCTTTGTATCATCACCAGATATATTACACATCTATGCATATACCTGACTACTATGTTCAATTACCAGCTGTTCCGTGGGAGAAAGATGAGGCTTTCTGCTCCCGTAAAGATATACAGCCTCAGAAACCCTATACAGAGTTGCTATGATTGGAACCAACTCCATGGCACATAACTAACCACCACCACTATGTTGTAAATGTTGAAAAGAAGCATGTTTATGAATGTCCTTTGTATGCTTGATTTGTTCCTGTAGACCTGGGCTACCATCCAGTCATTTCCTTTCAGCTTGAAAAACTGGTGGATCTGCCCAGAACAGATTCTCTCAGTCTGCTTACCTGACAATGTCTTTTTCACCTTCATGTGTGAAGGACAGTTTTGCTGGTTATTGAATTCTTGGTGGACATTTTTCTTCTTTCAGCACTATGAATGTGTCAATCAACTCCCCTTTGTATCCATTGTTTCAGACAAAAAGTCAGATGTTCATCACAGCAATGCTCCCTGTACATTACCAGTTATGAGTATCTTTTCTCTTGCTATGTTCATTATTTTCTTTTTTCTTTGGCTTTAAGCAACTTGATTATAGTGTATTTATATAGATCTCTTTGTATTTATGCTACTTGGGGTTCTTTGGGTTTCTTGAAGAACTCCTGAAATTTGGGAAGTTTTGGCCTTTATTTCTTTAAATATAGTCTCACCCCAACCATGACTATAATCTCAGACTAATAAAGCCTTTGGCCCTCCTTGTTCATCCACCTCCAAAACTCACCTCCACCAATAAAACTGCAGAACCCGTGTGTCACCCATTATTCCAAGTTGGGCAAGACCCCTAAAGACTCCAGCAAAGGAGTCTGTAGCACACTGCAGAACCTTGTCACTAACAGAGCCAGGGATAGGGATGAGAATGGCCCAAGCAAAATGCTAGAGTCCCACTGCTCACAATGAGGTTCAACAGGCTTTTAAACATAAAACACTTTCCAGAATGTTCTATGTCTTTGGTCAATTTCCAGAGTGCAGAAACAACTGTTTTTGTCAATTACATACAGCTTCATAGTTGATTTTGGGGGTGAGGGTTTCATGATCTTCTCACTTAACCAAGGTTGATCTATTTATTTTTAATATAAAACACACTCTGGGAAAGTAAGTCAGAAACACTGCCAAGTTAAAGAGAGACAAGGGGAGGCAAGGGGAATAAAGGAGAGACAGACCAAGCACAAGAACTATTTTACCAGTTTGTCTGCCTCTGGATGCTCTAAATTGGTCCACTCTAATAAAAGTAGTATCTTGGTGATTTTAATTTACCAGTCATTTTTTAAAGAAAAGGAAATTCTCTCTCCCAGAAGTCACCAGAAACTGCCTCTAGCCTTCAATATTCCCAAATTATATCATAAGAATAAGAACGCATGAAAGAAAAAAAAGAGTTCTGAAAAGAGTCAAATACAAATTCTAGAAGTGGAATAGTGAGTAGATTAACTACAGCTATTATTCAACAAAGCCCACCAGCCTCTCCTTAGAAACCCTAAAGAGGGTCGCTATGAGTTGGAACCAACTAATGGCCCTGGGGGTGTCCTTATAGAATTTCTGGAGGCCCCACCCATCTGTCCCTTTCCATTCCTCACATGTCATATCATTCCAACCAACTTTAGAAAACAGTATCACACTGGCTGCATGACCCTCATTTGGAAGCAGATGGGCAGCAGGCAAACAAGACCCAGAGGTCTAGAGGCCAAACACAGATCCTCACTATACTAACAAAAAGACCTGGGGTTTAGTCCCAGCTCTGAATCCATCCAACGTTTAACTCCTTACTTGTAGGAGGGACACGCTGTCATTGGCTCACTTTGCAGGCAAATTAAGGTGTTTATTTAAAAAACGAAACAAACATGGAAAATGTCAGGAACACAAGCAAGACCAGCAGGTCCTTTCTCTCATCCTTTCTCTCCTGCCCTGGCTCCAAATCTGCCATTGGCTGCTGGCTCACTTGAGAGAAATCCTGAGTTCCTCTCCTGCTGAGAACTGAGCTACAGAAAGGATGAAAAGACCTGCAATTACACTTTTACTTTTGGAACTTTGAAAAGGGTCTCTTGGTTTCAAAATGGGGATGGCTAAAATAAATATAAAAACAAAACAGTTGCCATCAAGTTGACTCTGAATTACAGGAATTCCATGTATGCCAGAGTAGAACTATGCTCCACACAGCATTTTCAATGGATGACTTTTCTAAAGTAGATCATCAAGCCTTTCTTCTATGGTGCTTCTCTATGAACTTTAACTGCCAACCTTTCTGTTAGCAGCTGAATACATTCGTCATTTGCAACATCCAGGGAGACTCCAGAGAAACCAAAGCTAGACGAAGAAGGTCTTTTTAGCTGGCAAGAACACAGAGCATACCTCCCCAATAGGAGAAGCTGGATAATCCAGTTTATCTCAAGGAGGACTTTACAAAGTTCTCCTAAGAATTTACAAAATTGTAAGACACCAGACTAGCTAACAGTTCCTAACAGTTCCAATCTGGTTCCAACTGGGATTTCACACAAAACTACAAATCAGGACTTTCACAGAATCTGTCCCACTACATAGGACGTGAGAAAGCACCAGTTTCCAGCCACCCTGCTCTGCACTAGTTCCATCAGCTAGAGAGCAGAGGGAAGGCTCTGTGAAAAGGAGGACTCCTGGCTGCAGCAAGTAAAGGAGCCCTCTAGTGTCACTTTTCAAACAGGAGCACTCGTGGCCCTAGTGCATTGGATGTAGAAGTTCTGGAAGTACAGCTAGCTCACACTAGCACCTTGAGGAGAGGGGACAGGAGGGGAAGGTGAGGAAGCTTCTGGTTACTCTGAAGGAGGAAGCTCTGGGTCTGAGTTCTACTTTCACCAGGAAAAAGGAAGAAAGTTTTTTGAATGAAGGAATGGGGTGGTGGACTGAGCCTTTAATTATTCCAAGGTTTGACCACAACCCCCTAAAAAATGCAAATGATCATAAAAGTAAGTCACTTCTGACTAACCAGTACTGACTAAGGAAAGGCCAGGAGAGGGCACAGAGACACTGGGGAGTAGCAGCCCTGTCTAATTTGCCTGGGGGTGGAGGTGAAAATAGCTGGAAAATTGCCCCCACCCCAAAATACACATATTGAAGGTGTCCTAAAAAGACACCCTCACCTTATCCTTACTTCCCCGTCTCCAGCTGAGAATCTTAGATCCCCAACCTATGATCTGAAGAGCCAGGTAGCATGATACAATGAAAAACTAACTTCTACTGACACTCTATTTGTCCTTCAAGACCAAAAATACCAGGTTTGGCAGGGTAGTTGCTTACCTGAGAACTACTATTAGTAGAAAAGCCACTGCAAGTAGTTCCTTTCCCCTTGGTTGAGACGGCTGGTCGGGGCAGTGAGGCAATGCCAGGACTGGAGCCCACCCCACATAGCTGAAACCCCTCTACTCCTGCACTCACTCACCTCTGCGAGGTACATGCTCATGGGCCTCTCACCCAACTCTGCTTGCCCCTCATGCCTTCCCTATGGCTGTGACTGCACCCCCAAGTCCACTCACCTCTGTGAGGTACGCATGTCCATAGGCCCGTCGGTCACCTGCCCTTCACCTGCTCTCCCTGTCTCGCTTGCTCTTGGTAGCCCTGAGCCTGGTCCCAGGCCCAGCTCAGTCTGCACTGCAGTGTCCGCCTCTGTTGTATCTGAGTTCACCAGTCCTCTGTCCATCTTCACTCTCTTGCTATCAGCTTCATCCTCAGCTGGGTCCCGCTCAGGCGCCCGCTTTTGGCCTCGGGTACGGCATGCCTCCTCCGTCATTCTGAACTGTGAGAGGGAAAGCAGTACATTGGCCTCACAGAGAGTACTACCCTAAGGGAATGCACCAAAGTGTGAGTGTGGCTCCCCCAACAGGACAATTTCAGTAGGAGTAGGGGCATGGGAAGAGTTCTCAAAGGGTTCAATGGAATGTATCTGTTGTCTCAGGTAGCTGGAATCGGGATGAAGACCCAGACTCCAAATCGGGGGCCCACTTGGACTGGAGACCTGTGATTCGAGGGAGACAGAGGATGGGTTCTCTGTGTTACACACAAAGAGTAAAGGGAGGATACCTATCTGAGTCTATTCACCTGTCCCTGGGGCTGTGGACACTTGTGTTAGGTTCTGGAGTTGGGATGGATACATTACCCAGGGTCAGAAGCCCCCATGTATGTGGGATACCCAGGTAATGCTCTCTTGCCCCCTTCAGGGAAGAGCAGTATTCTCAATCCCACTCACCTGGGGGCACATTTAACCCTCTAACTGCCAATGGGGTAAACTCTGGGTGGGGTTGAGCCTGGCATGGCACCACACCCCTGCCCCATACCTGCAGTGCATACACATCTTCTTGATTTAAAGAAAGAAGAGAAAAGAGCTGAGTCAGCTTTTGATCCTGTGACATCACTGGGCTCCACATGACCCTTCCCAGGATTCCATCTGAGAGACAAAGCACTTGCCAGAAAACCAGTCTGAACCGGTTTCAGACAAGCTGAAGTGCTGTTAACCCTCACAGAGACGGGGACTGAGACAGGACAGAGATGTCTTAGCTGCTGCAGGCATTCCACAACAGATTCTTAAAGGGGCCACTGCAGAAGCTCAAGGAACAAGTCCACAGAGTGAAGATCCAAAGGACCATGGGAGAATTTGAAGTGGGACAGAACAGAGTGAATTGCTAGAGCCACAGAAGACCCCATGGGAAAATAGGTGTCTGCAGACCAGGCTCAGATGAACAGGGCGAGGGCCACCATCACAGAGATGCACTGATGCATGGCTGGGAGCAGGCACCACAGGAGGCCTTGGTTCTGTCTGAATGTGCAAGCAGGCCACTTGCCTCACTGCCTGGAGGGCCTATCCCAGGGCAACAAGGGGCCATGTCACTGCACAGAACACTGTTCTGAGCTGAGTCACGAGCAGACCATAGCACAGATGCTGCTGATATATACATTCATGGACTCACACTCCTGGGACCAAAGAAGGGGGGCCCAGTCTGAAGGGGCTGAGCCTTAAGGAGTCTTAGATGGGCACCTTGAAGGCTCCATGCATGTAGCCCACCCAAAGCCCTCCCCACACACATTCTATGGCAGTAGGTAGACTGTCTTAACATGGTCCACAAGTTGGAAGGAGCTGTACACCAGTCAGAAGCGGAACAGCCCAGACTCTGCTGGATGTGACCTTCACTATTCAAGTCCTCCGTGGGACCTAGTCCTAGACTGCCCCCACCTCCTGCCAGCCAAGCATGCTAGAACTGCCTACCTCCACTTGACCCAATGAGGAAGGGGCACTCCAAGGTCCCTCTCAGCTCTAATGTCTACAATTCTGTCCTTTCTCCAACATTCATTAGAAACCATGACTGATTTGATTCTGGTATTTGATGCCCATCTGCCCAGAGAAAGTACAGGGGTAGGACGAAGTTTGGTAGACAGCCAACACCAGTGTTTTCAGGTTAGGGACAGTGGACTTGTCACTGCCTTGAATGCTGGACTATATATCCTTAGTTTTGTTCCATAAAGTTCTGTGAAACCTACTCACATCCCAGGTCCTCCATGAAGTTCCTCAATTGTTACTACACACATGGAGCACTTTGTGGTGAGCTTGCACCGCGCCTCCACCACCCTACAGGTGGATGGGTCCCTGTAGCCCTTGTCACTTCCAGCTATGGTGGTGGTGCCTGGCCCATGCCAAGAGTCTGTGAGTGAATGCCACCACAGCATAGACAAAGCCAAGAAGTTTATCATAAGCACAGAGACTTGGCACTCTCCCAACCCCAGGACATGAGTTGATAACCACTTCCAAGTCCTGCCTGCCTCTTCCCTGGGGTCTGCACCCCCCCCACAGTTCTATGCTCACCTAGCCACCTAACCTGGCCCCCAGGACTTCCACAGCAATGCACTGTTGCAATGCGTGGCTGCTGGGCACTGCATGAGGCCTGTACTTGCCTCAATCCCCTTGGTGATGGGGCATGTGCTCCTGGAAAGGGCAGTGCTGCCAGCAGGAGGCTTCATCCTCACCCCCGCAGGAAGGTTGGGTAACCCATCCCAAGGGGCTACAAACCATGCAATGGCAGGCATGAAAAGGGACCAAGGTAGGAGCAGGGAAGAAAGAGACCAAGGTGCAGACCAGAGTACAGAGCAGGAACCAAGAAGCAAGCAGGATCCTACCCTAGATGCGAGCAGGAAGCAGAGCTGGCCCAGAGGTACTGAGCAAGGACAAGGATACAGAGCAAGGCAGTACACAACCAGGTTGTCAGGGAAAACGAATCTCAAGGACTGAAGTGCATAAAGTGACTTCTGCAGAAAAGGCTGAGACTGTTTGCCCAGAGACTTTATAAAAAGTAGGTGAAGGGGCTAGACAGCCCTACCGAGCTGACAGGAGGGCACAAGGTGAGCAGCTCCAAGAGCAGGAACAACCCAGGATTATCAGAAACCACCACGAAGGTCTTGCCTACTGTGAACGAAAGTAGAATCCTGCCAGGAGCCACCATCCTGAGGTCCTGGCTGAGTACTGCAAGCACAAAAGAAACACTGTATCCATTTTAGAGATGAGGGCACTGAGGCTGTCCTGGGCTGCTAAGCAGGAACAAAAGGGTCAGGCACACTTAAGCCTACCCCTGCACTTCTTTCACTCCAAGTACCCTGACTCAGCCCCTACCCAGTGGCTCTAGGAAGGGTCCCACAGAGGCCCTGGATAGCCCAGCATGGAGGCCAGCAACAAGAGGCGCCCCCAGGAGAAAGGACTCCACCTGTCCTTGAACAATGACAGACAGTACTTTGGACAGGATACAAACATCTATGATGTCCACCAAAGCTGAATTTTAGTGAAATATACTGTCCAGCTATCTGTGAGCCTCAAGCAGACACAGGTCCTAAGACAAGTGCACTATATTTTAACAGAGCCCAGGGAACCCAGCACATACTAATAAATATCTCTTGATAATTAAAAAAATATTAATAAATGATGGCAGCCACATAGCCAGCCCCAGAAATGTACACTAAGCCTACTAACATTATTACTGAAGTTCCTGTTTCAAAAGATCAGGCTCCAATGAGCAAGAGCAAGTTAGGTCACTTGGCAAAAGCAGTAGAGTGGATACTTTCAAGAATGGCCCCATGGCTGCTTCTCAGCCTAACTTGCCTGCTGAGCTCCTGCTGTATGCCGGCATGGTTCTAGGGTGTGAGTATGGGTTCCATAAAGGGCTCAGTGAGGTGGGAGGTTGATGGACAGATCGGAGAGGAAAGAGCAGTTAGGAGGTCTGCATAACAAACTCAGGTCTGGAGGGAAGCAGAAAATTCAGGTGAGCTGTGAGGCTCCAGCCAGCATATGGGAGAGGGTCTGTTTGTTTTACCTGCGCAACTATAAAGCCAAACTTGACTTGAACTTAGATGGGGAGGAGGCGGACCTGGTGAAGAAGTGCTAAGCCTAATGTGATCCTTGCGCCCCCTCTAACTGTAGGGGCAGCTGCTTCTGTCAGCAAGGAAGAAAGTCTGTGAGCCCTGCTACTCTTGAGGTGTTTCTTCAATGGGCAGAGCCTCCCCACTTCCTGTTTCTGTGAGAATGAGGATGTTCTCATCGCTGGAAGCTTCTGTAATCCTTGTTCTATCAGGAGAGCTTCTAAATCCAAGTCCAGTTTGATCACATAGTCATTGCCTCATATCTGTCCATGGCACCCTATGGTCTGCCTGGAACCAGGCCCTCAGCATGGGGAGCACTGGGTCACTGCCTCCATGTCCTTACTCAATCTGAACACACCACACCTTTACCTCTGGGAACCTCACCTACCACCCCGCAAGCCTCCACTCTTGTGGCAGCAATAGCCTGAGTGGGTGATGAGGGGATGGATGGGTATGTTTAAATACACCATTGCCCGCCATTCATCAGTTCTGTGGCTTGCAGAGGTGTGGGTTGGAGGCATGGTCGGAAACCCAAACAGTTTGATCCAAGACAGTGAGGGCACTGCACCCAGCATGGGATCAGAAAGAGCAGACTCGCCTCCGGAAGTAGCACAGATCAGCCAGGCAGCCCTTGGAGAAGGGGCAGGGAGCAAAGAGCTACCATAGTACTACACAAATTATCATGCACACTGGGTTTTTTTGTTTTTCTCTTTTGCCAACTATGCAACACTACCCACTTCCTGCTCCAGCATGTTATTTTCATAAGCTATGCAATGTCCAAGAGTTACATGTATGGCCGCATTATTTATGTGAGTGTACTATTTGCAAAAAATATGGTACCTGTGCAAACCCTGTTTAATGGGTACATGGCCTGACTTCCACCCTAGAACCTCAACTCAGGAATACCACCAACAAGATAACAGGACCTGCTGTCTGTGGCAGCTGTCCCAGAAAGAACTCACAGCACACATGGCTTGCTTTCCTCTGAGATTTACGACAATGCAATTTTACTTGGGAAATAGAGAGATGATTGAACAACCTGTATCACAACCAGACATGAGAGAGGAATGCAGCACAGAGCAGAAACAGAGCTGGGCCAAGACATGAATTTACCAATGGGCCTGAGAGGCCAAGGCACTACGAGACTCAGTTTCCCAATAAAATATCCACACCTCCAAAGAACATTATAGAAAGAGCAATGAAATGAGTTTAGAAAAACTTACTGTCTTCCAGGGGTGCCTCAGCCTGGTGATCTACTTCCAAAAACTCAGTCTATGAAAGCTTATGGATCACAATAGAGCAACTCACAATTGACCAGGACTGGGCAGCTTTTCATTTTGTTGTACACAAAGTCACCATGAGTTGGGGGTGACAACACAACTAACAACAACATAC